CCCCCACCGCGCGCGTCATGACACTGTGCCGTTGTGCCGCTTCCTGGCGGCAGGCATGTCACAAATGAGGCAGTAACTTCTTGGGTTGTGACGCTGTATCATAAGTGTGGCCGCGGCAGCCAGGCACGAGTGTCCGTGGCTGGTGGGTGTTGCTCCCACGTCGCCAGCCCACGCACTCGACTACGGTAGCTGAGCAATCCCCCCATGCCAGCCACCTCCTCCAGTTGTGCATCAACATGCAACTCAGCAGCCATTATAACATTCACATGTCCTACTCCGCACCCCTTCTGCATGCACCTCACAACCCGGGCCTGCCGCCTGCCGGTATGACGGGACAGGCACTGCAACAGTAGGGATATGTTGCTGTCATGTTTTCATATCCTGCAGGACCGAAATCATGAAAAATTATGGTACAAATATGAACGAGAGAGGACAGACAAAGGGGCAAAGCAATGATGCAAGCTAGGGTGACGATGCGTGTGCACCTGGGCGCAACTTCACACCCAGGCCCGGTACACTCGCATGTGCTGTCAAAATTCGCCTTTGTATGACAATTTTTCAGGCTGTCAAAGCTTGAATGAAGTTAGCACACTTGCGAGATCGCGGCGTCAGATCACTTCGCGCCATCCTTGATTTCTTGCAGCCTACGGAATTTTAGACGAAATGGAGGCACTAATTATCATAAAGCAGGAGCTAGATCATCTCGACAAAGCCATCAAGGCCGAAACCACTGCTTGTGCTTCGGCGCGGCGTGCAGCGGCCCATACACAAGCAGTCAATGAGCGCTTGCGTGCTCAGCTCTCCGACGAGACAGGGCGCGCATGCGACGCAGAGGCTGAGTGCGCCGATCTATCTGGATTATTGGCATGTCTTGAACAGCAGGCAGCGGACCGCGCTAGCAGGCGCGCTGGTTTAGAGGTGGGCGGTCAAAGGGCCGTGCTGTCAGGGACAGCTGCCGCCGCGAACGATGCACCAGCTGCCGACAAGGCAGCAACATCCACAATCAGCTCGTGGTACTTCTGACGAGCTGCGCTACCCCGCATAAAAGACCACCTTTGGGCGCAGCATTGCGTAGCTCTCCGGCGGCAGGGGAACCTGCGATGGGGGTCCGCATGTCCTGCAACCCTTCCCCTCCGCCTTTCTATCAACAAACGCACAGCGAGAAGTCGCTGAGCGCCGCGCCCAGGCAGAGGCGCTGGTCGCGTCTTTTGAGGCTGCCTCCGCCGGCCTGCGCGCCGAGTACGGGCCCCAGCCCCTAGGGGCCAAGGCCTGCGCGGCGGCTGCCCGCGAGGCCGCGCTTCGGCGAGAGGCGGGGCGGAGGCTGCGCGCGCTGCGAGCGCGGCGGGCGGAGGTCAGGGATGGAAGGAAGATGGTGGCGCAAGCTGAGGCAAAGCTGGCCTCGGTTGAGGCGGCGATGCAAGGTGCGACCGAGTGGGGCGGTGCGGGTGATGCGGCGCTGCATGGCGTTTTCTTGCACAACATGTGCGTGCATGGGCGCTTGCACATCGGTGGGACCCAGCGCGTTCATGATTGTGGCATGCATGCATCCATGTATGTGCATGCGAACCCCGGCCCCATGTGAGCGAAGCCATGCATGCATGCTGTGCATGCTGTGTTGCATGGCATTGCATGGCAGCGTTCCCTGATGTTGTCCAACTCCTGATTCGCACCTGTCACCGCACACGAACGCAGGCCTCCGCGCGGCCCTTGCGGCAGAAGCACACGCTGCAGTCGCGCTCGCGGCCGCCGCTGCCTCCGGCGCGCCGGGCGGGGCGGCGCTCGCCGCGCAGGCCGCGGCGGCGCGGGCCGAGGCGGCGGCGGCGGAGGAGGAGTTGGAGCAGATCCAGTGCGAGTGAGCAGGGGCTGCGGGGGGTTGCAGTATGGACGCAACGGGCACATACGCGCAGCATGCAGCATGCACTTCAACATATGACTCCATGCACATGGGTGGATGCATGCACACATGGAAGCGCCCCTCGCCAAGCGGGTGCTTGCATGCAGATTAGTCATCACTGTTTCCAACCAGGCTTGCACTCGCCGGCAAGCCCACTGTCAATACAAAGGACATCCCTTGCGTGGGCAAACCACTGCACACCACGTGACTCCGGCTCATCTTTTCACCCTCACAACCACTCCTGTTTCTTGATGCGACCAGGGTGATGGTGCAGGGGGTCGAGGTGGCCAAGCTGGAGGCAGAGACAGGCGCAGCCCGGGCCGAGGTCGCGGGGCTGGTGCGGGCCAATGGGTTTGGGGGGGAGGGGGGCATCGCGATCTTCGAACATTGTGGCGATTACGGCATCACACAGGGGAAGGCGGGCGCGCCCGTGCCGCGCGGAATCGGGGGCCGATCAGCAGACTCTGGATCGCCTGAGTCGGAGGGCGCCAGGCAGGGTCGTCGGACGAGACAGTCAGCTCTCACCCATTTGTGAGCCGCAAACCACGCCGCACACGACCACTCGCAGAAGCAACGCCTGGAGTCACTGGAAAGGGCCCCCAACCCGGCCACTGCCGTTTGGCCATGCGCGCCCACCGCTGGCGGCGCCCCTGCGCCCTTTGCGGCGCCAGGCGCGCCCCGCCTCTGGTCAGCTCCCAGCCCCCAGGGGCGCCCCTTCAGCCCGGGGGCGCCGCCGCCTGCCTGTCGGATGGGCACGCGTACGAGCGAGGCAGGGCCAGCGGCGGCGCAGACAGCAGGCCCACCGGCCCCGTGGCATCCCCACCTGCATTCCACTCCACTGCAGCCGCAGCCACCGCGGCTACTCCCAGGGACAGTTCAGATAGCGACGCAGTGGCAGCCACCTCAGCACCCCAGCCACCAGCCAGGGCAGCAGCGGCCGCAGCCGTGGGAGCAGTTGGCGCGGCTGCCGGCTCTGCTGGCTCCGCAGCAGCGGCAGCAAGCCCACTTGCAGCAGCCGCTGCCGCAGCAGCAGCAGCAGCAGCAGCAGCAGCAGCAGCAGCAGCAGCAGCAGCAGCAGCAGCAGCAGCAGCAGCAGCAGCAGCAGCTATCCATCTGCACAGACTACACGGTCCAAGAGCCGGAAGACGAGGAGGCGCCCTCACCGCAACACATCGCCAAACCGCCAAAACATTCTCAGGCCGCGGATGCATCCCACCATGCAGAGGATTGGCAGCAGCCCGGCGCCGGCGCCGCGCCGGCCGCGCGGGCATCCGGTTCCTCGGGGGCCGTTGTCACATACTGCCCTGGCGGGGCTTCCCACGGGGACCTGTCTGGTGGCGGCCAGGGCGCTGCCAGCGGCGCCGGGCTGCGAACGACAGTCCACGAGACAGTAACTGTAATGTATGCCGGCGGCGGCGGCAGCGCTGCCGCGGCCCCGGGCGCGGCGCCCGCGGGCGGCCCGGCCGCGGCTGCGGCTGCGGCTGGTGCGGGGCGGCGGGCGGTCGTGCAGGAGAGGGTGACTCAGCGGGTGGTGGAGGTGCGGGAGCACGTAAGGAGCCGCAGCGGGCGCACCCTGCGGCCTGGCGCCAGGCGGGGTGGGTGGATGGGGCTAGGGCTGGGGGCCGGCGGGGTTTAGGGATTGAGGTTTAGGGTCGAGAAATCCCACAACATGCTAGGGGTGTGAGGAGCAATCACTGTGGCCGTTTTGTCAGGCATGCAAGCGGCCAGGCTGTCCGTGGATGGTGCATACACGTACCTCGTGTGAATCACCATACTCAGCCGCGCATTAACATCCTCCCGATGCACGGCCGCCGCACGCCGTCCGCCCATGTCTGCGCCCGCGCCGACAGGCGTGTCTTGCCGCGTGCCTGCTGACCCGTTTCAAACCCCACCTGCCAAACTATGTCAGTTTTCATTCAGGAGGAGAGGGTGCGGCACGCCATGGCCCCCAGGGTCCCACCGGGCGGCGGCATCAGCAGCGGTGGCATCGGGCCCAGCTGCCATCTGTCGTCTGACATGTCAGACTGGCACCCAACCGGCCCCAGCGGCTTTGGCTGCCAGGTCGCCGGCTGGCAGGTGCAACCACCCCAGCAGGCCCACGGCGGGGCCGCTAGCGGCTTCGACGGCTGCGGGCGCAGCGGGCCAATTGTGACGGAACTGCCCCCTGATGCACCATGCAAGCAACAGCAGCAGCAGCAGCGGCAGCAGCAGCAGCAGCAGCAGCAGCCTTGCTCTCTCTACGCCTCGCAGCACCTAGGGCCAACCTCACGGGCGCAGCACCAGCATCCACAGCTGGTTCAGAACGCGTGGCAGCAAGGTGTGGCCCCACCGTACCATCAGCAGCAGCAGCAGCAGCAGCGGCAGCAGCAGCAGCAGCAGCAGCCAAACCCACAGGCTCTGGCGCAACAGCAGGCAGCTGCAGTCCTTGCGGCATGGGGCCCGCCCCAGCAGCAGCAGCAGCAGCAGCAGCAGCAGCAGCAGCAGCAGCAGCAGCAGCAGCAGCAGCAGCAGCAGCAGCAGCAGCAGCAATGCCAGCAGCAGCTCCCCGCTCGAGCCCCTCGGGCAAGTGGCGCCGCAGGCTGCGACGCTGACGGCAACGCCGACGATTTTGGGTTCGTCCAGCCGCCCGCCCCGTCGGCGCCTGCCGCACTCACAGGCGCTGCGTTCGGCGCGCCTGAAGCGGCGGTGAACCCAGGGGCGTCGCGCGCTGCTGCGCTGCGGGTGCCCCAAGGAGCGGCGCCGCTGGGGCGGGGGGCGCTGCTTGGGCAGCAGCAGTGGACGGATCCGAGCCGCGGGCAGCGACAGCAGCAAGGGCGGCCGCAGCAGCAGCCACAGTGGCCCAGTCAGAGCGGTCAACCCTACCAGACTGTGATACCTCCCGCACACATGTGCCCCAACCAATTCCCTCAGCAGCAACCGCTGCCGCCGCTGCCGCAGCAGCAGCAGCCGCAGCAGCAGCAGCAGCAGCAGCAGCAGCAGCAGCAGCAGCAGCACGCGCAGCACACGCAGCACACGCAGCAGCAGCAGCACCAGCAGCAGCACCAGCAGCAGCACCAGCAGCAAGGGCAATGGCAGCGGCAGCAGGCACAGCCCCATGCACCGGCACCAGTGCAAGGCCACGGCGGCGGCAGGGGCGTCGGCGGCGGGGCCCAGCTGCCGGGCTGGCAGGCGCTGCTGAGGCAGCGCCGCCAGCAGCAGGAAGCTGCGCAGGGTGAAGATCGAGACCGGGTGCCGAGCGGAAGGACAGCAGGCAGTGGCCACGCCGCCGCGACAGGGATGGGCGCTGGCGGGCCAACGCGGGCCGGCGGCGGCGGCGGGGGCAAGCGGAAGGCGGCTGCGCAGCCGCAGCCGCAGCCTGACGGGCAAGGCGCCAGCGGCGGTGCGGGCAGAGACATGGTGCATGAAGGCCCTTCAGAGAGCCGAGCCCCTCTGCCGCTAGCTGTTGGCGGCAAGGGCGGGGGCCGGCGCCGCGGAGGCGCTGGGGGCGGGGGCGGCGGCGTGAAGCGGGGCGGGCGCGGGGGCGGCGGCGGCGGCGGCGGCGGCGGCGAAGCTGAGGGGCGGGGCGGGGCGCCTGGGCCGGGCAGCATTTTTGATATGTTTGGAGGCGGCGGTGGG